ATCTATCTATCTATCTATCTATCTATCTATCTATCTATCTATCTATCATCTATCTCTATATGTCTGTCTGTCTGTCTGTCTGTCTCTCTCTCTCTCTCTCTCTCTATATATATATATATATATATGTCTGTCTGTCTGTCTGTCTGTCTCTCTGTCTGTCTGTCTGTCTATCTATCTATCTATCTATCTATCTATTTATCTATGTGTCTGTCTGTCTGTATGTCTGTCTGTCTAGAAATCATCTATATATCTCTCATCTATCTATCATCTCTAACATATCTATCTACTTTCCTACCTACCTACCTACCTACCTATCTCCTCTGTGCAGAACTCGTATTGATGGCTGAGCCAGAAAAGCAGAAACGGATCCTGGTGACCGGAGGCTCCGGCCTGGTGGGAAAGGCCATTCAGAAGGTGATTGCCGACGGAGAACAGCGGCCGGACGAGAAGTGGATATTTGTGTCCTCCAAAGAGGCTGACTTAACGTGAGTGCGTGGGGACGAGGAGTCGGCTCCATGATCTTGGGAATGTGTGTCCTCTGCCCTCCATCCTCTCTTCCCTTCCCTCCTCCAGAAATGCTGCGGAGACCTCGGCCCTCTTCGAGAAACACAAGCCCACCCACGTCATCCACCTGGCGGCCACAGTCGGGGGGCTCTTCAGGAACCTCAACCACAACCTGGAATTCTGGGTGAGGACAGCGTGGACCCAAACAGCTCTCCTTAAACAGAGAACCCCAAATAAGCTACCGGAGGTTTTGGCCCGGCCATTTCTGACTGGCTGGGGGTTTTTGACCGAAAGGAAACAACCTGCTTTCATCCCTAAACCCTGGACTCTTTCCAAACGGAAGAAATGACCCAGGAAAGACCACTGCAAGAGGGCGTGATGACCCGGGGGGTGTGGCACCCAAAGGCAACACGGTCAGATAACTTCTGCACAACTTCTGGAGGCAGGTCATTCCACTGGTTCATTGTCCTCCCTGTCAGGAAATGTCTTATTTCTTTCTTCAGAGTTGATGTGATGACCCAAAGGGGCGTGGCACAAAGGCAACACAGTCAGATAATCAGTTGAAGTCCCTTTATTAGCTCCAACTTTGCCCCCCCGTGTCCAGGTTAACCTTCTGGCTGGAGAAAAAATTCTCCCAGGAACAGCCTGTGGCTGCAGAGAATCAAGTCCAAAACATGGTCAACACAAACTGCAACTATAAGTCCACAATCAAGGCAAAATGAGGTAATTTTAGTTTGGCAGGGCAGGAGCAAGAATTCCAGATGTTGAAGGCACAGCAATAGCTCAACACGATTGGGAAGACACCAGGAACACAGATAAGCAAAGTCAACACAAGATAAACCATGGTTGTTTCAGGTTTGGGCCAAAACAAAATGCGGGGGTGGTTTTGCAAGGCAGGTGGGCAGGGATCCTGGATCGGGCACCGGTACCCACCCCGTGTCCTCCCCCAGGAAGGCCCTTGGCTTGGTTCATGTAACACTCCATGCTCCCAAACCACCTTTGCTCGGAAGAACCAGGTTTTGGTCTAAATCCAGAACCAAACAGCTTCTTTTCATTCAGTACAATGACAAAACAGGCGTTAATATGACAGGCTCCCTCGTTATATTATTGTACAATTGATCAGCAAAGGAAAACCATGGGAAGCTGATTTTTATCTTCCTTCCCTCCCTCCCTCCCTCCCTCCCTCCCTCCTTTCTTTCTTTCTTTCTTTCTTTCTTTCTTTCTTTCTTTCTTTCTTTCTATGTTCCTTTCATTTTTTTCTATTCCTTCCCTTCCTTCCCTCCTTCCTTCCTCCCTCCCTTCTTTCCTTCTTTCTTTTTCTTTGTTTTTATATTCCTTCCTTCTCTTTCTTTTTCCTTCTTTTTATATTTATCCCTCCCTTCTCTCCCTCCTTTTTCCTTCTTTTTATGTGCCTCCCTCCCTTCTGTCCTCCCTCCCTTCCTTCTTCCTTCCTTTCTTCCTTCATTCCTTCTTCCTTCATTCATCCCTTCCTTCTTCCACCCTCCCTTCCTCTCCCTCCTTTCCTTCTTCCTTCCTTCCTTCTTCCTTTCCTCCTTTCCTTCCTTCCTTCCTCCTTTCCTTCTTCCTTCCTCCCTCCCTCCCTCCTTTCCTTCCTTCCTTCCTTCTTTCCTTCTTCCTTCCTTCTTTCCTCCTTCCTTCCTTCCTTCAATCCTTCCTACCTACCTACCTACTACATTTAAAAATTATTCTGCAAAAGAAAACTTCCAAAAAGATGGAACTGGAATGGGAGTCTGATGAATTTGCTCAACCTAAAAAGGTTGAATCTGATAGGTGACATATTTGCTTGTGCTTTGCTTGCATTTATATTTTTTTAGGAACTCTCTGGATGAAAATCCCTCCTTTTTTAAAAAGTCCTCTTTGAGACCTCTGGAGGACAGTTATCCGGGCTTCTTGCCTTTTCTCTGTCCCATCTCCTCCTGGGTGGCTGACTTTAATTGTAATTCACATCAATTAAATACCATCAAGAGGGTATCTTCAGGAAATATTTTTTTAAAAAAAACAAGATATTGACTATGACTGCTTGACTTTTGGAAGCTCTGCCCTTCCCCCCCCAAAAAAACTTTCAATCTCATAGTCATGGCCATTATCGCAACTTTTTTGACCCCCTGTGGACCAGGTTAACCAGCATCCTGTCTTTAAAAAACTTGGTTGAGATTGCGAGTGCGATGCCCTCCTCAACTCCTAGCCGAACTTACTCACAAGGTGCCGGCTTGTGAATCCTTTAAGCCCCGTGGTTTTCCTCTTGGGGGAACAGCCGCCCGGAGCACATGCAGACAATCTCTTAGTCTTCTCCCAAAGGTGCTTTATTTTTTTTCTCCAAGAGGCAACTGGACTTTCTTGTTTTTTTCTTTGAAGACGTTTCTCTCCTCATCCAAGAAGCTTCTTCAGTTCTGACAGGATGGGTGGGGAAGGGAAGGATTGATACTCCTTGCAGACAGCTGGTCATTTGCATCCTTTTTAGAGGGTCTTTGAGGCCACCTGGAAGTTTATTGATATCTTCAGTTGTCCCAGAGGTGCTTTTTTCAAGGGGCAACTGGACTTTCTGCTTTTTCTTTTGAAGACGTTTCGCTTCTCGTCCAAGAAGCTTCTTCGGCTCTGATTGGATGGTGGGGAACGGAAGGATTTATATTCCTTGCAGACAGCTGGTCATTGCATCTTTTTAGAGAGCCATTGAGGCCACTTGGAGGTTTATCTGTGTCTTCAAAGAAAAATACAAGTCCAGTTGCCTCCTGAAAAAGTACCTTTGGGACAACCATGACCCGGAAGACTGAGACTCTCCATAGACTCTTAGTCTTCCCCTTTCTCCAGAGAAGCCCCCGCGAAACCCCACCCAATCACGATTCTAGTCTCCACGTCTTGTCCACATTTTCGGAGGCGTTCAGTCTGCTGTTTCCTCCTACTGGCAACAAACTACAACCACATTTGAGGCCTGCATTTCACCGTCGTAAACACGAGTCTATTGCCAAGCGTCTGAATTTTGACTATAAAGGTGCTGCAACCGTCGTAAGTGTGAAAATGAGCCTGTTTGAGTGCCGTCGTAACTTCGAATTGTTGTAAGTCGAGAACTAGCTTCTTCCTATTGCAGCAGACCACAAAACCCCAGTCCCTGAGCAGCAGATTTCTGCTGGCTGGGGATGATGGGAGTTCCATTCCTGCCCCAATTTGGGTAAGTAATTGCTTCAAGAAAATCTGAGCTGCCGAGAAGCTGTGGAGCCCGTCAGCCCTTGTTAGTTCTGCAAAATCCCTTTCTTTGAACGCTGATCGTTCTCCTATACTTTTTTTAAAATTTATGGAAGGCTAAACAAATCGTCCTGGCAAGGAGAGAGGCATGGAATAATCAGCAGTGGACCTGTGTGACGGAGATAACATTTGAGCTGTTCCTTCCAGCGAGCTGCATAATTTACGGCGTGCATAAAGAGCAATTCTTTTTTGGGTTTAGTTTTATCCATTTCCGGGGCTGAATTTTTTTTTGCCTGTCAGAAAATGGTGGACGAGGAGAAGAATGAAAAGCAGACGCTTCAAAACTCCTGTGTGGTCCGCAGGCTGCCTGCAGAGCTGGCAGCAGAATCGGACGGTGGAGAAGAACATGGGCCAGTCCTGGAATCTGGGGAGGAGGACTCGGACGATGGTCATGCGTCCGATACAGAGATGGAGCCAGGGCCATCTGGGAGTTATATACCAGATTCCGGAGCCTCCAGAATCTGACATCAGCGAGGCAGAGGAGCAGGGGGAGCCTGTTCCCAGTGCGCACATGCGCAGAGCTGCCAGAAGGCAAAAACAGTTAAGACAAAAGGGGCGACTCAGGAATAAGGCTTGGAGGTGATTGGCCCCTCCCATAAGACCTGAAGGAGGAGCAAAGGGACAGGAGCCTTTGCAGGAAGCAACTTTGTTCGTTTGCAGGATGCAAATGACCAGCTGGGTCTGCAAGGAGTATAAATCCTTCCCTTCCACACCATCCAGTCAGAGCTGAAGAAGCTTCTTGGATGCGAAATAAGCAAAATGTCTTCAAAATAAGCAAAGTATCTTCCCTTTCCGTTGGCGACTCTAAAAAAGACCATAGACCTAATTTATGAGTTGACATTCAGCCTTGATAACATTTTGCAACACTTAATTGTGGGCCTCTTCCCCCTTTGTGTGTCCTCAGAGGAAGAACATCCACATCAACGACAATGTCTTGCAAGCAGCATTCGAATCCGGCGTCCAGAAAGCTGTTTCCTGCTTATCCACCTGCATATTTCCAGACAAGACCACCTACCCTATTGATGAGACCATGGTAAGGGCGATAAATCAAATCCCCTTTTCTCCATTTACAGGTAGTCCCCGGCTTACAGCCACCGTGGAGCCTGATATTTCCATTGCTAAGTGAGGCAGTTCTTCAGTGAGTCTTGCCCCCCATTTTACCACCTTTCTTTTCCCCGGTCGTTAAGTGAATCGCTGCAGTTTTTAAAGGTAGGGATGCGGTTGTTAAATTAATCTTGCTTCCCCCGTTGACTTGGCTTGTCAGAAGGTCGCAAAAGGGGATACGTACGTCCCCGGGGCACTACGGCCATCATAAATATGAGCTGGTTGACCATAGGGATGCTGCAGTGGTTGTAAGTCTGAAACGTTCAGATTTTCATCCCCTGGAGACGTGCTGTGGGATATTATGAGTTGCAAGCAACCAAGATATATGGGAGTTTTTCTTCTCCTATTTCTCACCATTTGGCTGAAGTGGTATAGAGCCAGAGCAGGGGGTTGGACTAGAGGACCTCCATAGTCCCTTCCAAATCTGTTTCTCTGTTAATTAGTGTAACGACTTGCCTCCGGAAGTTGTGGCTGCTCCATCGCTAGAGCTTTTCCAGAAGAGAGTGGGCAGCCAGGATGGTATTGAGCCGGAACAAGAGGTTGGACTAGAACAGGGGTCGCCAAACCTTTGGACCTCAGGGACCACCAAACTCATAATTTTAAATCCCGGGGACCACTAATATGAATTTTGACTGACGGTGGCTTGCTGACATTGGTGGGAGAGAGAGAGAGAGAGAGAGAGAGAGAAAGAGAGAGAGAGAGAGAGAGAGACAGAGAGAGATCTTATCTAACCTCCCTCCCTCCCTCCCTCTCTCTCTTTCTCTCTCTCTCTCCCTCCCTCCCTCACACAAACACACACACACACACAGGCAGGGTGGGATTCAAATTTCTTAACCGGTTCTGTGGGCATGGCCCTAATTTGTGGGTGTGGCTTGGTGGTCATGTGACTGGCTGGACATGGCTGGTATGTAAATATTATAAATATTTATGGAAATATTGATTTTTTTTTATTTAAAAAAAGAGCAAATTTTACCCCAAATCAGGCAAAGTAGGCAGGCAGATTGAGTTGCTCACAGAAGCACAGATTCACTCAGAGATCTATCTTTCTGCCATCGGCTACCCGAGTCTGCACTGAATAGAAGCTTCAGGCTCAGCTCTGCTTTTGGATTAGTTAGAAAGCAAGAAATCCAACAATTTCCTGCTTTCTAGCTAATCTAAATCTCCCGGCACAGCAGAACAGCTGATGGTTGGGAAGAAAGAAAAAGGAAAAAACAGCAACTTAGCAGGCAAGTTTGCCAGGTAAGGAGAGAGTGGGCGGGGAAGGTTCCCGTGGCCCATGTGGGTGGCGCAGCCTTGTGTTTCTGCGCAGCCTGGATTAATTGCTTTTGTGGGGGGGTGCTCTGGGGGTGCCATTTCTCTGCAGACCACCAAAATTTTCTCGTGGACCGCAGCCCACCAGTTGGCGACCCCTGGACTAGATGACCTCCAAGATCCTTTCCCAGTCTTTGTTATTCCGGGGGCAGAGTCAGCTGGAACCTTATCCTTTTTAAATGTATCTCTAGGGCAGTTTTTCTTGATCTCAGCAACTTTAAGACAGGTGGACCTCAAGTCCCAGAATCCCCCAGCGAAGCAGGGGAATTCTGGGATTTGAAGGGCTGGCTGGGGAATTCTGGGAATTGAAGTCCACCTATCTTAAAGTTGCTGAGATAGAGACGCCCTGCTCTAAACGACCCTTAATGTTTCTCTGTGTCATAGAATATATGCAGGTATATGCCTAATTTTTTTTATTTATTTGTTTGTTTATATTTTTGTCACGTTCATATAGCATCTATTGGAAGTGTTAACCCTTGGAGAGCTGCATGCAACAAAACTTCATGTCAATGCATGCCGCTTAATGTGCATTTAAAGTGACAACCAAGTTATTCTAAGTCTAATTTCTTTCTCCCATGTTCCTTCTAACCCTAAATTTGGAGTTTGGCCCAGGTCTCACTCTTCTCCATCATCTTTGGTCTTTCTGCTGGAACCTGGAGCTCTCTATGTCCTGCCCAGAGGTGGCCTTCAGAGGAGAACCGGAATGCTCCATTTTCAGAACTTCCGCGTGTCGCTTGGGCTTCCTAACGTGCAAAAATTTCCCTTCCAGATTCACAACGGCCCTCCGCACAGCTCCAACTTCGGGTATGCGTACGCCAAAAGAATGATCGATGTGCAGAACAGGTAATCCTGATCATCCCCTAAGAGTTCTAGGACCGGTCAGGAAATTGTAGTGGCATAACTGAAAGTTAGAACTGGGATGGAATCGGAGAGGGGGAAAATAATGGAATACACTTCTTTAATAATAAGATGATGTAAGAAAAAGAAAGGAAAGTAGAAGTTGAATGAAGGTGATATTAAGTATATTTGAATAACATCAGGATTGGCATAAAAGAACTAATACAATGAAATGGTCAGGATTCCGGCAGTTCCCCCCCATTTAAATCATGAATCTCGAGCCAAACTTCTAAAACTTCAAAAGGATTTATTGGGAGTTAACATGCCGGCACTGTCTGGGTGTAGCCAATTCTGAGGCACATCACTCATTGTCACCCTTGACCCTGGTTTCCCCCCCACCCACTGCGTGTATCGTAATTCATATTCTCCAATGGGACACCTCCATAGCCCAGAGTCATCAATCGTGCTCTCCAGTTAGAATTTTGCACAGCAGAAACTTCAGTGACCTAGTTACTATCTTTGAAAACATTTATGGAATGCGCGTTCGGTTTGCAAGCTGCCACACTGCTCCCCCTCCCTTTCTGTTATGGCCACTCTAAAAAGACCAGAGAAATATTTTAGGAGTTGACACCCAATTCCTTTTCTTCTCCCAGGGCATACTTCGAACAGCACGGCTGCCACTTCACGGCTGCCATCCCCACGAACATCTTCGGGCCCCACGACAACTTCAGCATCGAGAACGGCCACGTCCTGCCGGGCCTGATCCACAAAGTGTACCTGGCCAAGAGTGAGTGACAGGTGGGGGGATGGGGTGGGGGGGGCGAGCGTCCCTTGTCCTAACCCTCGAACACAAAATAATTTGTGACAGTCAGTTTCATGTAGTGGTTCAAGCTCAGAGGTAAAACCCAGGAGGTGGTGAGTTTTAGTCCCACTTTAAGCCTGAAAGATGGCTAAGGAGACTCTGGGCCAATCGCCAGGAGACTGGGAGTTCTAGTCCCGGTTTTGGCTTGAAAGCTGGCTGGGTGACTTTGGGCCAGTCACCAGGAGACAGTGAGTTCTAGTCCTGCCTTAGGCATGGAAGCCATCAAGGTGACTTTGGGCCAATCACCAGGTGACTGTGAGTTCTAGTTCCATCTTTGGCATGAAAACCTCCCGGGTGACTTTGAGCCAATCAGCAGGAAATTCTGAGTTCTAGTCACTCCTTCAGCATGAAAACTAATTGGGTGACTTTAAGCCAGTCTCTCTCTTTTTCTCTCTCACCCCAACCCACCTAACGGGGTTGTCGTTTTTGGCAAAAATAGCAAAAGGAAGGTGTGTTGGCTATGTTCGCCACATTGAGTTATTTGTAAAAAAGGTGAGATGCCAATAAAAATAATAATAGAATAGAATAGAGTAGAATTCTTTATTGTCCAAGTGTGATTGGACACACAAGGGATTTGTCTTGGTGCAAATGCTCTCAGTGCACATAAAAGAAAGACATTCGTCAAGAGTCATCAGGTGCAACACTTAATGATAGTCATAGGGTACAATAAGCAATCAAATGATACTAGGAAACAGTCAATAAAAATTGTTAGGATAAAAGTGACAAAGTTACAGTCACAAGTGGGAGAGGATGGGCGATAAGGAGTGAGGAGAAGATGAATAGTAATAGTGCAGACTTTGTAAATAGTTGGACAGTGTTGAGGGAATTATTTGTTTAGCAGAGTGATGGCGTTGGGGAAAAACTGTTCTTGTGTCTAATTGTTCTGGTGTGCAGTGCTCTATAAAGAGAAGAAGAGAACAGAAGAGACAAAGAGAAGAAGAGAAAAGAATAATAAAAGAGAAGAATAGAATAGAATGGAATGGAATAATAAAATACAGAATGGAATGGAGTGGAGTAGAATAGAAATAAGAATTAGGAAGAGGAGAGGAGAGGAGGAGAGAAGAGAAGAGAAAAGAGAAGAGAAGAGAAGAGAAGAGAAGAGAAGAATGGAATAGAATAAGGAAAGAATAGAATAGAATGGAATTGAATGGAATGGAATGGAATGGAATGGAATAATAAAATACAGAATGGAATGGATTGGAATGGAGTAGAATAGAAATAAGAATTAGGAAGAGAATAGAAGAATAGAATGGAATAGAATAAGGAAAGAATAGAAATAGAAATAGAAATAGAAATAGAATAGAATAGAATAGAATAGAATAGAACAGAATAGAATAGAATAGAATAGAATAGAATATTGTTTATTGGCCAAGTGTGATTGGACACAGAAGGAATTTGTCTTTGGTGCAAATGCTCTCAGTGTACATAAAAGAAAAGATACATTCGTCAAGAGTCAAGAATCATCAGGTACAACACTTAATGATAGTCATAGGGTACAATAAGCAATCAAATCCTACTAGGAAACAGTCAATATAAATCGTAAGGAGACAAGTGACAAAGTTACAGCCATACAGTCACAAGTGGGAGGAGATGATGGGTGATAAGGAGGGATGAGAAGGTTAATAGCGATAGTAGTGCAGACTTTGTAAATAGTTAGACAGTATTGAGGAAATTGCAGAATAATAACAGAATAACTGAGTGGGAAGGGCCCTTGGAGGCCTTCTAGTCCAACCCCTGCTCAGGCAATAAAGAAAAATAAATAAACAGAGAGCTCCTGCGATTTGGCTGAACGGGAGACGTGGCAGGGGAGGGGGTGCCTTTTAACAGAGGGGCTCCCGGGGCATTCCCCACCACCTCTGCGGCTTAAGGGAAGGAAAGCGATCGATCCGAAGAGAGCAGCTCTCCAAGATTCCTGGCTCCGTCTGTCTTCCTCCCTCCTCCCCCTTCGGGCAATCAAGAATCATCAATAAATCAGTGGCTGCCTTGGAGACGTGGCTGGTGCAGACGGGGGTCCTGGCGGACGCTCTGTCTGAGCGAGCAGCCCGGCTTAAGCGCTGAGCCCTCCCCTCTGCTCCCGTCGGGGCCGAAGCTGACACAGACGCTGCCAAAGGCCTCCTTGCGCTCTCGGAGGCCAAGTTGGGCTATATGCAGGCTTTGGAATTGGGGCAGGGGGAGAGCGACCCCTCTCTGCTGTCCCTAGAAGGGCCCAGCCTTCCAGGGGGGCTCGGGCGGGGGGGGTGGGGGGTTGGAGGAGAGAAACAAGACCTCTCAGAAATACAGGTGGTTAGTTCTGGGCTTACCGCCCTTCGCTTAGCGACGGTCAAGAGTTACAGCAGCACTGAAAGAAAAATGACTTGTGACTGGTTTCATTTCGTTTTGTTTGACTTTATTTTATTGTTTTATTTTTATCTTTATCTTTATTTTTATTTTATCATTATTATTATTATTATTTTATTTATTTTATTATTTTATTTTATTTTATTTATTTATTTTATTTTATTTTATTATTTATTTTATTTATTTTATTTTAATTCTATTTTAATTCTTTTATTTTAATTCTATTTTAATTCTTTTATTTTATTATTATATTTTATTTATATTATTATCTTATGTTTCTATTTATTTTATTTTATTATTTTATTTATATTATTTTAATTCTATTTTAATTAGTTTATTTTATTATTATATTTTATTTATATTATTTTAATTCTTTTATTTAATTATATTTTATATATATTATCTTGTTACGATTTATTTTATTTTATTATTTTATTTTATTTATTTTAATTCTATTTTAATTAGTTTATTTTATTATTATATTTTATTTATATTATTATCTTATGTTTCTATTTATTTTATTTTATTATTTTATTTTATTTATTTTATTTTAATTCTATTTTAATTATCTTATTTTATTATTATATTTTATTTATATTTAATTCTTTTATTTAATTATTATATTTTATTTATATTACTATCTTATGTTACTATTTTTTATTTTATTATTTTATTTATTTGATTTTAATTCTATTTTAATTATTTGATTTTATTACATTTTATTTATACTATTATCATGTTACTATTTATTTTATTTTATTATTTTATTTATTTACAGGTAGTTCTCAACTTACAACCACTTGTTTAGTGACCACTTGCAGTTACAGCAGCACTTAATGACCTTTGCAGCCTCCCCATGATCACATGATCAAAATCCAGAGGCTTGGCAGCTGACTCATATTTATGACGGTCACAATGTCCCGGAGTCACATGATCTCCTTTCGGCTCATTCTGACCAGCCATGTGGAAGCCAGATTCACTTAACAACCATGTGAAAAATTTAACAATTGGGGTGATTAATTTACTTCATCACTGTGGCAGGAAAGTTCATAAGTTGCATTTTTCAGCGCCACTGAAACTTAGAACGGTCACTAAATGGAATGTCATAAGTTGAGGACTAGTTGTGCTAAATCTATCTATATAAAAGCAAAATGCAACTCACACATCATCACAAAATCTCCAGAACCGTAAAGCCTACAAACTTGAAATTTGGCCCGTGTGTTCCTCTTGGCTTTTAGGGGCTCACTAAGAAAAGATTTTTCCAAATGACCATCAGAGCATTTCTTATATTATTATTATTATTATTAACACGCTCTGAGGCTAAGGACTTCTACTCCCCCTCCCCTTCTGAAAAGAAATCTGCTCCAAATGCAAAACACAAGCAGAGGAGAGGAGTTTCGGTTTCAGTTTAGCAAGCAGCTTTAGTACAGAACAGTTGAGCTAAGCCACGCCCAGGCTCCTTGCTGTCTCCTTGCTCGCACAGCAAATACTGCTTCAATTTCCAAACAGCCCTCAACTCTCTCACACACTGACAGGACACTAGCCAGATGAATACCGATGGATGCTGGTAGGCAGAGGCAGAAATATTTTCTCCTTATTTTCCTCCCCCAAAACTAAGCCCAACCACACAGTTTCGCAGCGAAGCATGGGCATCGCACTAGTGAGAAAATAAAATCACACCTCCAAGGAGGTTTATGGAAATGACCTGCAAAGGTGGAAATTTCTTGTAGGGAGAATCGAGGAAGGCAGGAGATGATGTATCTAACGGCCAAATTTCTCCGTGCTTTTCCTCCAGAAAACGGCACCAATGTCACCGTCTGGGGCACGGGAAAACCTCGGAGGCAGTTCATTTACTCTCTGGTAAGCCTAATCACCACACTGCATGTCAAGGAAAGGAGGGAGAAGCTCAAGTATGTTCAGTCTGGGGGTGACCAGTGCGAAACGTGGTTTCAAAGGGTTCCACGAAAGTTTGAGGTACAGCTTCTCCTCCCACCAATGACTAATGGAGGCTCTCCATTACTGTCGTGTTGACAAGCGCCCGGGAAATTGGGAGTTTAAATGGGTATAAAGATAAACGTACGATGGACGGTTGCAGGACCTGGGCCTGGCTAGTCTAGAGAAGAGAAGGACCAGGGGAGACACGAGAGCATCTTCCAATATTTGAGAGGCTGCCCCAGAGAGGAGGAAGGGGTCAAGCTATTCTCCAAAGCACCCGAAGGCCAGACAAGGTATAATGGCAACTGTTGGCAACTCTAAAAAGACCAGAGAGATATTTTATGAGTTAACTGAGAATCAGAGGTGGAAGGGACCTTGTAGGTCAGGGGTCTCAAACTCGCGGCCCGCGGGCCAATTGCGGCCGCAGGACAATATCCTGTGGCCCCCACCGTGATATGAAAGTATAATATTAGTGCGGCCCGCAGGGGGAATGGACCTCTGAAGGAAGTCCCGCCCACCGTTCCTCGTCGTGGCTTCTTCTCCACCCTGAACTTTAACAAGTCCAAGAACAGGTCCAGATCATCTTCAAGCCATAACTGAGGGTCTCAAGTGCCTCCTCTCTCAAGCCAAATGTGGCTCAGATATGTGAGAGGAAGCGTTGTCAAGTCTCTGGCAGCAAGGAGTAAGCTGGAGAAGCCATGTTCTGAGGAACTGTTCATGATCTTCATTCAATGTTCCATTCATGTGTTCAGGACAGTTCATGTATTGGAGAAATCATTAACTGTTGATGACATTTGAGGATATTTTTTTAACAACGTTTTTTGTGGAATCCCTTATGCGGCCCAGCCTCA